GTGTACAACGAATTGTAGGTGTATCTTGTAATTTTATTGTTTGTTGCGGTTGCACCCAAATCAAGAGCCGAATGGCTCACATGGTAAATCCTCATAAATGAAACTGAAAACTGAATATCAATAATGATGATGCTGCTGATTATGAAGTGAGTGTATTCATGATGATGATGCTGCTGATGATGATGGAGTGTATTCATGATGATTATGATGCTGCTACTGATGATGGAGTGAGTATATTCATGATGGTGAGGATGCTGATGATGATGGAGTGAGTATATTCATGATGATAATGCTGCTGATGATGATGGAGTGAGTATATTCATGATGATGATGCTGCTGCTGCTGATTATGAAGTGAGTATTTTCATCATGATGATGCTGCTGCTGCTGATGATGATGGATTGAGTATATTCATGATGATGATGCTGCTGATGATGATGGAGTGAGTATATTCATGATGATTATGATGCTGCTACTGATGATGGAGTGAGTATGATGATGATGCTGCTGCTGCTGATGATGATGGATTGAGTATATTCATGATGATTATGATGCTGCTACTGATGATGGAGTGAGTATATTCATGATGATGATGATGCTGCTGCTGATGATGGATGAGTATATTCATGATGATTATGATGCTGATGATGATGGAGTGAGTATATTCATGATGATGATGCTGCTGTGATGATGATGGAGTGAGTATTTCATGATGATGATGATGCTGCTGATGATGATGGAGTGAGTATATTCATGATGATGATGCTGCTGCTGATGATGATGGAGTGAGTATCTTCATGATGATGATGCTGCTGCTGATGATGATGGAGTGAGTATATTCATGATGATGATGCTGCTGGCTGATGATGATGGAGTGAGTATATTCATGATGATGATGCTGCTGCTGATGATGATGGAGTGAGTATATTCATGATGATGATGATGGAGGTGAGTATATTCATGATGATGATGCTGCTACTGATGATGATGATGGAATAAGTATTTCATGATGATGATGCTGCTGCTGATGATGATGGAGTGAGTATATTCATGATGATGATGATGCTGCTGATGATGATGGAGTGACTATATTCATGATGATGATGCTGCTGATGATGATGGAGTGAGTATATTCATGATGATGATGATGCTGCTGCTGCTGATGGAGTGACTATATTCATGATGATGATGATGCTGCTGATGATGATGGAGTGAGTATATTCATGATGATGCTGCTGCTGATGATGATGATGATGGAGTGAGTATATTCATGACGATGATGCTGCTGTTGCTGCTGATGATGATGGAGTGAGTATTTTCATGACGATGATGATGCTGCTGCTGCTGATGATGGAGTGAGTATATTCATGATGATGATGGAGTGAGTATATTCATGATGATGCCGAAGTAGCTGATTACGAGTGAATGTTTGAGTGATTGTGATGATGATAAACGTACCCGAGGTCCAGACTCCCCTTGGTCGCCCTGCGAGACAGACACACACACACACGTGACCACCATGCATAACAGGTGCTATAAGCTATGGCGAGAATGAAGAAAAATTCACGGTTGTACTGTCCTTCTATACTCCCCGAGGTGAAGTATGGTCATGTCACCGACTCACCTTGTACCCTCTCTCTCCTCTGGGACCCTGCACACACACACACACAAAGACAAAGATCCCCCGTGTAGCCATTAGCGGGCTGTTGGGGAAAGTGCTGTTAGCGAGCAGCTATAAGCCCAGGACGGCATCACGAGGGGGTGGGTGGTCAGCACCACGCCCGGCCGCCTTTGTATTCCCCAGTGTTGATGGATGTGTAGTGGGTTTCAAGGAGACACACACACTTGAACTTGGAGACAAGACGTTTATCCTAACACCCCAACAGGGTAACTGCATAAACGTACGGGATAACGACGTAGGTGGTTACCACCACGAGTAACTCAGACCACAATGGTATAACTGGATAACCGGGTCAGTCGGTGACGCACTGCCTGACCCACGAAGGCGAGCGAAGAGATGTCGCACGGCGAGTTTATTCCATAAGACAGCCCGGATCGGCGCTCAGGACCTCCCTTTTATGCCCCTGAGCGCGGCCTAGGGCAGAGCCAGGCCACGCTGAGATGGGATCAAACCACGAATGTTACGTACTGTGTTGAATCGAGCCTGGATCTTGAGTTTGCTCAAGATCTGTGAAGGATAGGATCCCTGGTATGCAATACCCTGGCATCTACAAACGAAGCTGTGTCTGCGGCAGTAGATACGTTGGGGAAACTAAGTTGACATGTCTCAGAACCGTGTTCGTGAGCATGAGGCAGATTTGAAACACGGTAGGACAAATACCTCGGCCGTGGCTGATCATTGTTTAATGCGGTGGGCTCACACGAAATTGATTTCTCCAAGGCGAAGGTACTTTGTAAGCTCACTGGCTATCAACAAAGATTCGTTCATGAAGCCATCCACATATACAGACACAACTTCAACCGAGAGGATAGGTACAAACTCAGCGATCATTGGAAGGATGTCATCAACCAGTTTAAGTCATAACTGGCTGTGATGTTCCCATCCTGGTACCTTCGGATGCTAGTTGTTATTTTCCCCGTGGCGTCGGCTCTCCGATTTTACATTAACATGCTAATCTCTCACATTAACATCATGCTAATCTTTCACGTTAACATAGCCACTTCCGCGCCCTCTAATCTCTCACATTAACATCATGCTAATCTCTCACATTAACATCATGCTAATCTCTCACATTAACATAGCCACCTCCATGTCCTCTAATCTCTCACATTAACATCATGCTAATTTCTCACATTAACATAGCTACCTCCGTGCCCTCTAATCTCTCACGTTAACATCATGCTAATCTCTCACATTAACATAGCCACCTCCACGCCCTCGTTGTGGAGGCCGCTCTCCTCTCTTACATTAGCATGCTAATGTATCACATTAGCATATCTAGCCCCGCCCAGTTCGTTTATGACCCTTGGGCTACACCCATTTTAAACCTCTAAAACTGTCTGCCTCAGCAGCTTTCCCCCTCGTTTTCTCCTCCTGATGACGATCGCTTGTGTTGTGATGAAAAAGTAGTAGTTTTTTTGGTTTACTTTCTTTTTTTAATCAAATTTAACCTATCGACCGAAAGACACCAAAGATGATGCACAGTACCACGCTTCCTCCAGTAGCTAGCGCTAGACGCCGCAGTGACTCAATATACACCACTACAGATGTACACACTTCGACACGCAGACACACACAGACACACACACAGACACACACGTGACACTCACACACAGACACACACACAGACACACACACAGACACACACACAACAGCCGTCCTTCGCGACGAAGTGGTGGTGACGTTACCAGGGCGCTTGTTCCAGGCTAGGTGCACAGACACACGCAGACACACACACACACAGACACACACACAGACACACACAAAGACACACATACACACACACAGACACACACAGACACACACGTGACACTCACATAGACACACACACACACAGACACACACACAGACAGACACGTGACACTCACACAGACACACACACAGACACACACGTGACACTCACACAGACACACACACAGACACACACGTGACACACACGTGACACACACGTGACACACACGTGACACACACGTGACACACACGTGACACTCACACAGACACAAACGTGACACACACAGACACACGTGACACACACGTGACACTTACGAGATCTCCTTTGGGACCCGGTTTTCCCTGGGGTAGGGGGGGAGGACATCAGAAGACGTGGTGATGGTGATGGTGGTGGTTGTGGTGGTTGTGGTGGTGGTTGTGGTGATGATGGTGATGATGGTGATGATGGTGGTGGTGATGGTTGTGATGGCGATGGTGGTGGTGATGGTTGTGATGGCGATGGTGGTGGTAGTGATGGTGATGGTTGTGATGGTGGTGGTGATGGTGACGATGGTGGTGGTGATGGTGGTGATGGTGGTGGTGATGGTGGTGGTTGTGGTGGTGGTTGTGGTGGGTATGGTAGTGGTCCTGGTGATGATGATGGTGGTGGTGATCGTGGTGGTGGTGGTGTTGATGATGGTAGTGATGGTGCTGGCGGTGATGATCATAATGCTGGTGGTGGTGATGATTGTGGTGGTGGTGGTGTTGATGATGTTGGTGGTGATGTTGATGATGGTGTTGATGATGTTGGTGATGATG